CTTATTCTTCTATTTAAAATTATTTAATCGTTATTACTTAATAGTATTAAATCTAAATCTTAAAATAGAATAATATAATTAAAGTTATAGATTCTTACTTAATATTATAAATCGAATTTATATTTTTTAAAAATTTATATTTATATATATAGTAGTAATAAATTTTTAAGATAAAAAATTATAATTATAGAAGCGAAGTCTAAATAAGTAAAATTATTAAAATTATTAGAAAAGCTATATAGAATATAAAGAAAACTTAAAATAGCGGAGAAGATTAGAAGAGATAAGGCGAAATAGAAGATTTTAAAGATATTTTAAAGAATATTAGAAAAAGCCTATAGATAGCTAGACTATAAATTAAAATATTAAATATATACTATAAATATATACTATTATAATATTATTAATCTATATTTAATATTATTATAATATTAAAAAAAAAAAAAAATAGTAACTCTATATCTTAACCTCTAGAATTTAAAAATACTTATATTTTGTTTTATAATTATAAAAATTTATAATATCTAATTATTTTTATAGCTATTTTATTTATTATTAATTTTTTATAATTATATTCTATATATCTAGTATCTCTTTTAATAATAGATTTAGAATAATAAATAGTAAAAATAATTAGATTTTTATAATTTTATTTAAGAGATAAGTTTTTAAAGTTTATATATAGTAGTAATATATAGACTACTAATATAAATACTTCTTTACTCTTTAAATATATTAGATTTTTTTTTTAAATATATACTAAATAATAGAAGATAGCGTTTTTAATAAAGAGATAATAAGATATTAGAGAGTTAATAAGATATAATTAATAATTTATATAAAAGCGTTAAATAGCGTTAGAATAAGAGAATAATTTAGATATTATATAATAATAATATTAACAATATAATTATAATAGATAAAAAGATATTAATGCGAATTAGATAAAAAAAAAAGCTAATTATATATTTATATTTAAATCTATTAAGATAAAAGTAAATAGAGAATATTCGAGTTTTTCTCGCCTCTTTAACTTTTTAACTTATTATCTCTATTCTTTAAATAAAACTTATATTACTTATTTATATATTTAAAATCTAATATATAAAATCTTTTATTATCTCTATTTTAATATATTTATAATTTTAAATATATTAATAAAAAATATAGTAAGAAAGAATCTTACTTAATCTTAATTTTAGTTAAATCTTATTTTTTCTAAATTAATTTCTAATAAGAGATATTAAAAGAATATATCTAAGATTAATATAAAGAAGTAGAAAATCTAAACTTTAAATTAAAAAAATAGATATTTAATTTTATAAAAGAATTATTATATATCTTCGCTATCTCGCTAATAAAAAATAGATTTTAAAAATAAAAATAATAATAATAGCTTTAAATATACGCTTCGAAATTTTATTATAAGTTATTTAATTTAATTATATTATTAATAAAAATTAATTCTAAATATTTAGAATTATAGTATATTATTAAATAAAGAAGAAGATAATAAATTTAATAAGTTTAAGATAAAGATCGCTTTATTAAAAGATAGCTTTACTATCTAATTTCTAATATCTATTTCTAAATTTAAAAAAATAAGTATTTTTAATAATTTTTTTAAAAAAGTATTAGATAGAGCTAGTAGTATTTTCGCTAATATATATATAACTTTTAATAAATTTAAAATTTATTATTAATTTATATATCTAGTAAAATTTAGAATAGCTTTTTATATTTTTATTATTAGAGCTATATAAAGAGATAGTATTATAAAATAAAGCTAAGAATAGAAAAAGAGTAATAATAAGATTAATTAGAATAGAAGTAATTAAAAAAATTATTTTATTTAGAATATATAGATATAATTTTTAGCTCTATATTTATTATAATATCTATACTAATAACTTATAAATTAAAATTTAAAATTATATTAAGAATAATAAGAGTTATACTTTTAAAAATATCTTTAAATATATATCGCTTATTAAATTCTTCGTTTTTAAGTATTCTTCTAATATATTTAATTAAGTCTTCGACTTTATAAATAAATATATTAATATTATAAAGTCTAATACGAAGTTAATACTTTATTTTTACTTTAAAAATAAATTCTTTTATTCTATTCTTTACTTCTTCGCTATATATCTATTTTTAATATATTTTAAAATATATAAATTAACTTCGCTATAAGAGTTAAGCTCTATATAAATTAAATAATAAATTTATAAGTTTTATATAATTTTAAATATAGTTAAAACTTTCTTTTAGCGTAAGTTCTTATTATAGCGAAGTTTAAGAAATATTATATCGATATTAAAGATTTTATATATATTAAATCGAAGGAATATTATTTTAAATACGAATTTATTAGTCTAGTTAAATCGAATAGAGATACTAATTATTTATTTTTAGAGACTTCGTCTTTAAAATAAATATACTTATTTACGCTATAAGCTTTATCTTAATTTAAAAAATATATAATTTTTATTTCTTTTATCTTCTATATAACTCTATTTACTTTCTTATTATAATTCTATAAAAATATTATATTTTATTATATATTACTATTCTATTAAATTAAGAGAGTATTAGATTTTTAATAAAGATATAATATTACGAGATTTATAATATATAGTATTTACTTTATAAAATAGATATTTCTTAAAATAAATATTTAGATATCTTTTAGATAGATTTAAATTTATAATATTTATTTAGTAAAGTAAGCTTATAAATTTAAAAAAAATTATTTTTAAAAAGTATTCTTATAGATTAAGTAATTCTCTTTTATTATCTAATATTATATTATAGAATTATATTTATTATAAATTAATTAATATAGTAAATATAAGAGTGAAAGTACTCGGAGCGAACTAATAGGCTCGCTTACGTCGCTTATTAGACTATAAGCTACGTAGCTAGAGCGAGTATTTAATATATTTAATAAAGTCTTAAATACTTACGAGTTTTCTTTTCCCCCTTTTTTTTTTAATTATTAGTTTATCTAGTAATTAATCTATTTATTCTATTAACTATATATCTAAACCTCGTAATTATATAGCTATTATATAGTTTTATTAAAAGAGATTTTACTATTTTATAGTTCTAATAATTTTATTTATATAAAATTACTTAGTTTAGTTATAATAAGTAACTCGCGAGTTAATTTTATTAATTTATAAAGTAGAAATATTCTATTATAATTAATTAGCGACGTTTTTAACTTAATAAATAACTCTTATTAGAATACGCTTATTATATAATTAAGCGATTATAATATTAATTCTAATATTTATAGAAATTCTAATAATATTATTAGCAAAAATAATAATCGCTAAAGTATTATATCTAATAACTCTTTATTTATAAATAAAGACTCTTATCTTATAGACTTAATTTAAATTTAATATTATTAATTTTTAGAGCTTAATATTAAAAAGTAGCTAGTTATTAAAAAACTTAAACTAATTAAAATATAGAATATATAAGAATATTACTATAAGTATAGCGATAATTATTATCGTAATTCGAGTTATAAGAAGATAAGTATTATTAAGATATTTAATACGTAATATCTTAATAACTATAACTCGATAGTTATATTTCTTTAAGACTACGATAATTTTATTACCTCGATATTTTATATTAATTTTTATATAAATAAAAAAAGACTCGCTAGATTTTAGTTTTCTTGATAAATATTAAAAAGTAAATCTAAAGAAATATTAGAGATATAATATTATATAATATTAGAGAATTTATTTAAGAGAAATATAAGAGATAATATTTAAATTAAGTTTATAATCTAGTTATTAAGTTTTATAATATAAAATACTAATTAATTAAAGTAATTATAAGAGATACGTAATTAATAGTTAACTTTAATAATTATCTTATTATACTTTAATTATAGCGAGAATATTATATAATCGATTTAGAATATATAGAAGATCTATAAGATAGAGTAATAGAGAAAATTTCTCTAAAAGCTATAAAAGAGATTATTTAATTTATTATCTATTATACTATTAATATAAATAAAAGAATAAGATAGAGCTGAACTAGAAAACCTTGAATTTATATATGCAGCCAATTATAAATTCGTATACGTTTATTACGCCTTTAAGAAGTAACTATGTTAGCCCGCTAGCCCTCTCGAGCTCTCTTATTAAAAATTTTATATATAGAAGTTTTACACTCTGAAATAACCAGCTCCCTACGGATACTATTTCTTCATAATTTCATAAATTATAGAGCTCAGTGTGCGCTTTCTAACGCTGTAAAAATAATGAAGTTTGGCCTACTATTGGTGGATTAAATGGATATTCAAATATGATAGTTATGGTAGTCATACCAGACGCGTCCGGGATCGGATAATAATCCTTCCACCTGTTTGTTATTCTTTCATTATTCTATCAATTCTACCAATTCTACTAATTCTACCAATTCCACCAATATGAACACAATCGAAGATCAAAGGTCACTCAACGTTTCAGGTACGTACACCCCTTTTGCCCGCCTCTCCCTCGGCGAATCCGCTACTGCTGGCAATCGAGGCCGTAAGCGAGCCCAACAGCTACCTACTACTACTCATAAACGCGTTAGAAAGCCCTTAAAAAGAGCCTGAACGAATACGTTCTCCCCTACATACTCCTCTTAAGCCAGCGATAAGTAGATTAAACTGACATTCAAATATTATAATCACACCAAACGCGTCCGGTTCAGGCATATATACCCCTTTTGCCCGCCTCTTAGAGCCCCTACTAACGCCTCTAGGCCACCCCTCGGCGAATCCATTACTACTAACAATCGAGGCCGCAAGCGAGCCCAACAGATACCTACTACTACTCATAAACGCGTTAATACCCTCGCACTTAGTTAAACAAGAGGAGGATCTACAACAGACAAATGCGGAGAATACTACGGAGACAGTCATCAGCAGCAGTGACACAATAGGCCTACTCTCCACGATCTCACATCAATCCACTCAGTCAATGCAAGAGAAGTCAATACAGCAGGCGAATACGGAGAATACTACGGAGAAACAAAGCGGCAACAAGGCCCCCAGCACCAAGAACACGGCTCAGCTCTCCAAGATCCCACGTCATATGCTCTCCACGGTTCCACATCAAATCATCACTCAGCAAGCGGAGAACACCACTACAACTTAGCCCGTCATCCCCACTGCATTAAGGAGAAGAGAAGGAACTACAACAGGCAAATGCGGAGAACACTGCGGAGAAACCAAGCGGCAACAAGGCCCCCAGCACCAAGAACACGGCTCAGCTCTCCAAGATCCCACGTCATATGCTCTCCACGGTTCCACATCAAATCATCACTCAGCAAGCGGAGAACACCACTGCAACTTAGCCCGTCATCCCCACTGCATTAAAGAGTAAGAGGAGGAACTATAACAGGCAAATACGGAGAATACTGCGGAGAAATCAAGCAGGCAACAAGGCCCCCAGCACTAAAAACACGGCTCAGCTCTCCAAGATCCCACGTCATATGCTCTCCACGGTTCTACATCAAATCATCACTTAGTAAGCGGAGAACACCACTGCAACTTAGCCTGTTATCCCCACTACATTAAGGAGTAAGAGGAGGAACTATAACAGGCAAATGCGGAGAACACTGCGGAGAACACTATGAAGAACACTGCGGAGAAACCAAGCGGCAACAAGGCCACCATCGTCAAGAACACGGCTCAGCTCTCCAAGATCCCACGTCATATGCTCTCCACGGTTCCACATCAAATCATCACTCCGGAACGATGCATATTTGGACGAATTGAAACCGTCCGATGTCTACAGCTATTTCATTATTCGAAAAATTTCACTGCGGCAGGAGATATTGTGGGATTCACACCACTAATTGGCACGTTGTCTCCATTTCTTTCCGGTATTTCGATACTTCTTGCCATAAGGACATGGCCTTTCTCTGTTTTTTGTAAGTAATTATTACACCTTCCTAATTAGGCCTTAACGCGCCTCTCTCCGCACATATGTGCCTGTATACTACATAGATTAAATCAATTTTGTAGTGGTGGAAGTAGGTCAAAAACGCACAGCAAGCGATCAGAGTTCGATTTGACTTAGGGCTAGGGCTAAAATTCGATTTGACTTAGAAAAATCCGACTCCATGAATTTAATTCATAGGCCTTTTGTAATATTATAATAGTATTAAAATATAAAGTAAAGATTATAAAAAATAAAAGAGTTTTTTATTTTAGATAAGATTTATTTTAGTAATAAGATAAGTAATTAAAGAAGTAGTAATTAATAATATACTAAGTTTAAGAAATAGTATATAAAGAATTAATAAAATTAAAAGAAGAATTTATTCTTATCGATATTATAAGATTAAAAGTTTAAGCGAATTAAATTTAAAGATAGCGACTCTTATATTAAGTCTAAGACGTCTCTTATTAAAATATAATACTATAATTATAAATAATTAGAATATTATAAGAATTCGTTTAAATATTTAAACTACGTTATAAATAATAAAGTATATAATTATAGATTAAATAAGAGAAAAGATAAAGTTTAATACTTATCGCTATAGTATTAAATATATTATTAATTAAGCGATAATCTCGCTCTCTATTATTAAAAGGCGAAATTATTATATTAAATAAAAAATATAAGATAATTACTCTAATAGATATCGATAGCGAGAAAATCTTTATATTATAATCTTTTATTAAAAAGATATAGATTTTAAATCTAAATACGCGCTAATAATAGTATATACTATCGATAATTATTAAATATTCTTATATAAAAAATATAATCTAATCTTTAATCTTACGAATAGTCGAGGAAAAAAGTAAGAGTAAATCTTAAAGATGTATACTATAAATATATAAGAATACGATTTTATTCTTAATTTCTCTTAGATCTATAATATTAATTTAGATATTTATTAATATAAGTAATTTTAAATCTATCGCGATTTTCTTATAAGTAATAAGAAGTAAATAGATATTATAATAGTAGATATAAAGTAATTTATATTATTAGCTAATATAGTAATTATATATAATCTAAGATAAGCGTTTATCGTATTTTTATATTAGATTTTATTTAAAAGTAGTAAAGATAATTATAATAAAGCTATATAATATAATATTACGTAATTAGATAATTCTAGTATATTTAAATAACTTAAGAATCTATTAGAAGTCTTTTAGAAGAGTTATCTAATAGTCTTAATACGTATAATTAAGTTTTATACTTTATTAATTTATAATCTAAAAAGCTATTTAGAAGCGATTTAATTTATAATATATTATATAATAAACTTATAGCGATTAGAGATTATCTAAATATTACGTTTAAGAGAAAGTAAATTTAACTCTTAACTAGTTAGATTAATTTATTAATATTATTTATTAAAAAATTAGATAGCTTATTATAATTATATATTAATTATTAAGAGCTTAATAAGATAATTATTAAAAATAATTACTCATTATTACTACTCTTAAAATTTTTAAAAAGATTTATTTATACGAAGTACTTTATTAAGATTAATATTCGTAATATATATTATAGAATACGAGTACGAAAGGAAGATAAATGAAAAATTATCTTTCGAACTCGCTATAGCTAGTTCGAGTATTAAGTAATATCTTTTAACCTTATAAATATCCCTTATAATCTTTTAAGTCTATATAAATAAAGTACTTAAGTTATATATCGATATCTTCTATATAATATACTTAAATAATATATTAATCTATTTCGAAATAAAAGAGTTATATTAGAAGTATATATATAAAATACTACGTATACTATTAAAGTATCGACTCTATACGAAGTTATTAAAATATACTTTTAATCGTAATAAGATTATCTTTTTAAGGTTTTTAATAAATTAGCGTGAATATTTAAATAAAGCTATCACGTATTAAGATTATTACTAAATAGTTAGAATTAGAGTCTATTAAGAATATCTTAATCTTTCTAAAATTTGTAAACTTTTATTAGTGATTTATATAAGACTTTTTGTAGATAACTACGTTTTTAATAACGTATCTAATTTAAAAAATAAAGAAAGGTGAGATTAAATTACCCTTCGTATTTAATAAGAAAGTATATAAGACTTTTAAGATACTTAAGCGAGTGTTTATTATTATATTTATACTAAAATATTATAATTAAAAAATATTATTTATTATAGAGATTAATACTTTTAATATAGATATAGATAATATATTTAGCTAATTAAGCGAAGAATAGATAATAATATTCTATTACTTTTTCTAGCTATAAATTTAAGAGCGTTAAGTCTCGCTAGAATATATATAATAAAAAGCTTTATATGATTATATTAGACTTTAAGAATTAAAAATATTACTTATAAGATAATAAGTATTTTATTTATATAATCTTAGATTATAATAATTTACGTTATTTTATAATAATAAAAGAGTTTAATATAAAGTAGATTCGCTAAATTAAGAAATTAGCTATATTTAACTTTATTATTAAATATTATAAAAGAAAACTTAATTCTATAAATATATTATTAAGAAGATTTAATATTATTAAATCGAATAATAGCGAGAATAATAATAATAATTTTCTTTTTATTTTACAAAATAAGCTTCGTAATTAAAAATATTTATTTAATCTATAAAAATATAATAGTATATTTATTATAATTAAACTTATAGCGTTAATAAAGTAATTAAATAATATTATTATCGTAGATATTTAAGTTATTAATTTAAATAAGAGAGTACTTAATAGATAAATATATATTCTAGATACTTACGATATCGTTTTCAACTTCTAATTTATTAGATTTTAGAGTTAAAGAGATTTTATTTAAAGTTATAGAAATCGATAATAGTATAGCTACTTAAATTATAATATAAGAATACTTTTATTATAAATAAGAAGTAATATTAAAGATACGCTATTAAATAGAATAAGCTTTTAAAATAAAGAGTTGATAAGGATAAACTACTACGTTATAGCCTCGTAGTCTATATTTCTAACGATTCTACTATAAAGAAAGAGATTTTTTATATAAATTATAATAATTCTAGTATTAAATACTTTATTTATAAGTATATTAAGAAGAGTATTAGATTTAAGTATTATTAAATAGATATAATAAGTAATATAATAGAGTATATTTATATTTATCTCGATTATTAAAAAATATAAGTTTATTATTATAAGTTATATAGCGAGCTAGCGTCGATTCCCTTAGATAATATAAATTTATTTTATATTATAATATTAGATTTTATTATAAATCTATTATCTATAAGAGATTTATATATTAATAAAATTTATAATATTATTTTAATTTTAATAAATAAGCTAATTAAGTATATAACGTATATAGCGATTATTAAGAATCTAAAGATTAGTAATCTTACTAATATCTTATAACGAAAGTTTATATTATTACGCGATATAATATATAATTTAATTTTAAATCGAGATTCTCTATTTATAAGTAAATTCTAGATAACACTATATTAATATCTAGATATAAAGCGTAAATTAAATATTATATTTTATTCTTAGATCGATAATTAGATTAAGAGATAAAATTAGATATTAGAATATTATTTATAAATATATTATAATTATAAGTAGAATAACTAGCTTAAAATTTTATTAATAGCTATATTTATATATAATAATAACGTATATATAAGTATTAATAAGATCTTATAAGATTTATTAATAAGATATATAGTAGATTTAGAAAATACTTCTAAGAGTAGAATCTTAAGAGGGAAAATATCGTTTACTATAGAGCGAGTAGAATAATTATAAAAGATAAGATTATATTTAAAAGAATTATAGAAGCGAGCGTTAAAGTAATAAATAAAGTATTATAATAGTAATTATAGAGCTATAATTTTTTAAAAAAAAGATAAAATATTATTACGAAACTTAAATATATATATTTTATAATTAAAAAAAAAAAACTTAATTATAGATAGCTAAGGCCTTTTAAAATATTAGAGAAAATAAATATATAGATTTATAAGCTAGATCTTTCTACTAGATATAAAAAAATCTATTTTATATTTTATATATCGCTATTAGAGCTATAATACTCGTATAATAATAATTTAAAATTATAAGTAGTTTTAATTAATAAAAAAGAAGAGTAGGAAATTAATAAGATACTAGAT